GATGATGCTGGCATATGTTAAATAAGAACAGATGTATGCGTTTAAGTAAGACAGAATTATATATATAATATTATATATAATATATATAATGTAAAAACTAAATCTAAGATGTCACCACTATTATCGAATTTGGAATTTAAAAAAGTCTGTACTATCGATCTTTATCGAGTTGGATAATCGGTTTAGCATCCCCTTAAGATAAATAACCAATCACAGAGCTGTATTAGCATCTTAAGATATTACTTAAGACGACCTTACAATAAGAACCAACTATAAATACCAATCTAACAATTAAGTTAATAGAATAAACGATAGGAAAGGTGATTTAACCTTATCATTTCTATTCTGGAAAAAGAAGCCACATGCCAAGTTATCTTTCTCTCTTTTTAATTTTGTATTTGAATGCTCAAAGTTTGTGTCTATGCGTAAGACGAATAAACCATAAATATATTTTAGATGATATAGGCTGATATTTTTTATTCGTTTTTTTTTTAAGATTATCTCAAGTAATGTCTTAAGATGTTAATACAACTCCGTGATTGGTTTATGATATCTTAAGACTGTACTTAATATACAAATATAAGAACTGATTATAAATACCGGTCTATGGACTGTAGATCACACATTTCTATGGAGTTGTCATTATCTGTTTAGAAAGAATAAAGCAGTAGGTTGATTTGTATCGTTTTCTCTCTCTCTCTCTCTCTCTCTCTCTCTCTCTCCCCCTCTCTTTCTCTCTCAAATCATGAGTTGAAAAGAGATATTCATGCATTCTCTTTCTAACGAAGCTAATATCAAGGAATGTACAGTTTATGTCTGTGAATAATATGCATGTACTGCAAACATCAAGTAACATTAACATAAACCGATTAATTTTACATATCGTATAGAATCCATTGCTACTTTATAAGTCCTCATTTATATTTTAACGACTCATTTATATTTGAATGACATACATGTGTAAATAGTGAAAATATTTCGTGTATGTCTCTGTTTCATTCATTTTCTCTGATATGATTATCATATTATATTAAATGTAAAGTAAAACAGTATTACAAAAGAAAATTAATATTCAGTTTACTAATGAATTATTTAAAATTTAGGAAAATGTGGAACACAACGTAATCCAAGATAATTCTACATCGATTTATTAGTAACCAGTTTTGATCTTTCCTTATAATTCTTATATACAGGGTGGTCCACGTAAGGTATTATATAAGCTATTATCTCTGAAAGTATGCGTCAATGAAAAATACATTCAGATAAAAATTTTATGATTTTGTGAGGGGGACAAGATGGAATCATTGGTTTGACCTTAGGTGACGTTGTGTTATCAAGGTTAGGGTAAAATCACTTTAAATTTTTTTAATGGATCTTTTTATTTTTTATTGCATATTCTTGTAGCAGTTGTAGCACTAGCAGTTGACGCATACTTTCAGAGATAATAACTTATATAATACCTTACGTGGGCCACCCTTATATAAGAACCCTTATAAGGAAAGATAAAAACTGGTTACTAAATCGATGTAGAATTATCTTGGATCATGTTGTGTTCCACATTTTTCTAAATTTTAAATAATTAATTAGTAAACTGAATATTAATTTTCTTTTGTAATACTGTTTTACTTTACATTTAATATAATATGATTACCATATCAGAGAAAATGAATAAAACAGAAACATACACGAAATATTTTCACTATATACACATGTATATCATTAAAATATAAATGAGTCGTTAAAATATAAATGAGGATTTATAAAGTAGCAGAGGGGATCCTATACTATATGTAAAATTAATCGGTTTATGTTAATGTTACTTGATGTAATTTAGGAATGAATAAGATTCAGTACCAATTTCACAACGCAAAGCAGACCGGTATTCATAGTCGAGTTTTGCATTTAACTCTCTTAAGTAAAGCCTTATGATGTCATAAGTCAATCCGAGAACTGTATTAGCATCTTAAGAGATATTATATTTAACTTTTAATATAATATCAGTTTTAATATATAAACGGATTATATGAATACCATCCCATGTTTATCGTTTCACGGTTGATAGCTTCTTCCTTATGAATAGTCCTAGACGGATAGGACAGATATTTAGAGAGAGATATATACAAGAGAGGATTTTTCATTGACGCGGAATTCGATTCTAAACTTAAAATTTGAAATTAAAAAATGTCTGATCCAATATGGCGTGCGTAAAGGATTTTTAAGTATGTTGATTCAGATTAAAAATAAAAATTTGAAGGAAAAAATAATTAATAATGTTTTTTGTCGTTATATAAAAATTGAGTAAATATGTATGTCGAATAATGTAAGTATAAAGTGTCATAGATTGAAATGTTTTGAAATTAAAAGATTTTCTTCCGTCACAAAAAGACTAATCACAACAATTGAAACGCCATTTTATTCAGGGATTTATGTCAATTTAATATGAACTATCGTATAGATCAATTTTTAAAAATGAAGATAAATCAAGGATGCCCGAGATCAGCGCGCGCGTAGCGCGCGCTTGCGAGTTATTATTAAAAAGCAGTGGATTTGTGTTTTGAAGTAGTAAATTTGTGTTTCAGAACAGATAATTTGTTTTTAAATCAATGAATTTGTGTTTGTAAAGCAGTGAATAATATATATTACAATAAGAAATACTTACAACGCATTCGCGGTCATACAGCATGAAAATGTAACTTCAGCGCGTGCTTGCATCGCAGTATTTCGTGACTGTGACAAATTTCTTAACCTGAATAGTCATCAACTTAAAATATTTTGGTTCACGAAGCAGAGTAACACTGTTTTCTTGTCAAATCTTTATTTTTACGCGAAAACGCATAGATTCAGTGTATTTTTATCAAAATTTGAGGTGAGCAGGCTCTTCTTAACATTTACCGTTAATTGTAATGGTGTTACAATGTATCCTGGCGATGCGGTACTTTTAATCCCAAACCGATGTTGTCAAAATTTATATAAATATATTTGAAACCACTTAAAAATATCAAAAAAAGATGTGCACCTAGCTTGAGGAAACGTATTTTAGAGTTAATAAAATGAAAACATAATAAAAAGCATTTTATTTGAAAGTTTAGAGCAAAAAAGTATAACACCTTAAATTTACACTTACTTACTGGCTTATCTGAGCACCATATATATAACTTCTTTTATATGCGGCATACGCGCAATTGATGTCATGAGGCAAACGCAGGCCTCGATACCGACTGTTTTTGTTCTTCATGTGATGGCACATTCATATCGAGATACTTACTTATTTCTTAAATCTAAAATTTATTTTAATGCTTTTATATAAAACGTTTTCTACTTTGTTTTTAATATTTTTTTGCCTTTTTTCTAAAGAATGTTATATCTGTTCAATCTTTTCAAAAAAATACGTCATTAAGTTTAACAGATAATTTAATTTTTGTAAATAAGATTTTGGGATTTTATTATTAGTTACAAATAGAACTACAAATAAGATAAATATATATCTATTATACATATTGCAATCTTTATTTACACATTTATTTCCTGATAATTTTACAACATTATCTATTTCGATTTGGTAAATATGTAGATTAGGGGAGCCCCCCCAATGACCTTGACCTTGACATATGTTGTCAAGGTCATGACCCAGAGTGACCCTGAGGAAGTTTTAATTGCAGGACGTTACTCATTAA